TACAAGGTAACCCAGCAGGGTTTGTGTAAACAACATTGTGTTTGACTTCAGAGAAATTAGCAAAGCTTCCTCTTGCAGGAAGCTACCTCATAGGATCAGATGTTGTCTGCCATGTTTCACTTTGTTGTAATTGTTGTAATATTCCTTAGTCGACTATTCCATGTGTCCTGGAAAAAAAGAATGAATTTCACTCGTAAATAATTAATTTCATACATGAAGCTGTTTTTTTCTTGCATTTGCAGGCTGGTTGTACTTGTGAAAGAGCCTGGCTAGCCAGACTAAATAAATGTATTATTTATAACTTTGCAAAAAAGAATTTGGTCTAGTTCACTAGGCTACTTGTGAAATGCATTTAACTCAAGCTTCCAGGCCTTCTGACCTTTTACCATTTAATTTTAGCCAAATTGATCATCCCATGATGTTTAACAACTGGGAAACAGCATTATGCTTGAAATCATGCAACGATCAAGTTTCACTAAGTTGGCTGATTTGGATAGAAACACACATGCAAATAAAACATGAAGGTTAAGACCTTTGATTTAATCTAAAGTGACGGACAAAACGTAAAGCGTATAATATGAAACCTTGAGCATTAACTCTCTTTATTTAAAGGACAGAGACCAAGAATGTTAGATACTCTTTTGTACGTTTGTTGTAATCTATTACTTTATTCAAGAATGTTTGATGGCCTGGATTGTTTTATTTTGGGTTGAAACATTAATAAAGGCTTTTCTTGTTTGGTTTAAGGTATAAAAAAATCTGTTTTTCTGTTTATGTGGCTTGTGTGACTGTTACCAACTCAAACATGTACAGACTTAAACAGTCGGACTGCTCGAAGCACATGTGGTATAGTGTAACTAACGGTGTATGTACAGACGTGTGTGAGCTAATGCCAGTGTTTAATACAGTCCATATGCTTCTACTCCTCCTCAGCTTTCTTCTATTGTCGTCTGGCTCCTCAAATGAGACTTAAATGAAATCTTCTGACCAGGTGAGGACAGGGGCATATCCAGGGTGCGGCCTGGGGTAGTACATACCACACTTGGAATCTGAATGGCCACCCCAGGTGTCACCACAATGAATTCCCTTTAAATAGGCTTTTCATTGTCCACAAAAGGCTTGTGGTAAAACAAAAAAGCATAACCACTGGTGCCACATATGCACAAAGTAGTGCCTCACCTGGGCCACCCCATTTTAAAAGATCTCGACACGCCACTGGGTGAAGAGTAGTTGGCCTATCAGATTGCATCAGAAGACGCTGTCCTTTGGTCTGATGGTAACACTTTGGCTTCATGAACCCAATGAGACAGCCAAGACTAAAGATACACAGTGACTACGTTTACATGCAGCCAATATCCGGGTTATGATCGGGTTAAGGTCGGTATTCGGGTTTCTGAGTTGATCAGAATAACCCGTTTACAAGCATAAATAGAAAGAGTTACCCCTAACTTGCATAACCCGATTTAAATGCGGACGTTGGGGTAGCGTCAGGACGTATGGACTACGTCCGGATGCAATATGCGTCATATTTCGCTGTCTCTGTACTTTCGGCCGTCAACAAAAGACATAATGTTCATACTTTTCACCAGACCGATGAAGACAGGTTTCCTCGTCACTCCAAAAGTGTGGTGCTGTGCCGCGACTCGCCATGTTGCTCCCAACTTGTTGTTAACTTCCGGTGTTCTGGCGCATACAAGACGTCTCGCTACTCAAAAGACCAAGATTTCTTGCGAACAGAGCATGCACAAAACACACACTTTGATGGGGATATCCAGATATGCGTTTACACGACCAAACATTCGGGTTAGAAAAGGGTTACCCCAGGTGTAGTAACTGGGTTTTTAAAAACCCGGTTATGAGCATATCCGGGTTTTTGGCGGTGTTTACATGGCCGTGCGGAACCGGGTCATTGTGAATATTCGGGTTTTAAAGGGTTACTGGCTGCATGTAAACACACTCACTGATTTGGCCCCAGGGGTGCCCCCAAGGTGTGGACAGTGGGGGCCCTAAGCAATTGCCCTGCCTGCCGACGTTCAGCTTCTGACAGTTATAAAGGTTCTTCCTTTAAATGGAAAGTTAACAGAAAAACCCTTTATTTACTTGTTATATTTTACTTGTTATATTTGAAATATGATCAGTGTGCCTGGCTTCCACAACTGAAGTCAGATCACTTCAAACAGACTTTCATTCGGTGAAATCCTTCTATTGGGCGTTTATTTTATTGTTTTTCTTGTGCTCTATTTTGTGCCTTAACCTATTTTTAATTGTTTGGTTTGACTTCTATGTTTTATTTCATTGCTGTGTATTTTATACTGCCTTGCTTTATGATCAGGTTTTAGGTGTTTTATGTTTTAAATCTTTGTTTTTACTTACTATTTATCGTGGAATTTTAATTTTGTAGTATTTTTGTCATTTCTGCTGCCTCTTCCTTGTCCAGCATTTTGGTCAGCTGACCCACTATGGTTAAAATGTGCTTTACAAATAAATACGGTATGGTATGGTATGGTATGGTCACTCTGAGCTTCACATGGAGGTTAAATGTGAAAATAGTCCTCATTTTTCGCTAGGGTGTGAGAATGTGTTGACATTTGGGATGAGATAAAACATCAACTCACAAGGCATTCATTTTTATCTAGACCACCTGTAAATGTAGTGGAAAACAAGTAAACATGGCCTTTAAGTTATGTGCTAAATAAATTGCATAAACAAAGGTCATATTTCCATGCATCCCGGTCAGAAGTCTTTATTTAGGCATATGCATTGTGCACCAGATCATTCAGGGTTTTTCAGGAGACACATTAACCAGCACATTTTAATATTAGCAAATTTGAAAAAGAAATAGTGTCTCCAGACTCAGAAACCATTCCACGTATCCATCTACCTCTCTTCCAGAGTCTGAAAAGCTTAGATCCTGAAGAGAGACATAGGAAAAGGCTATGTTACAGACATAGCCTTTTCCTACAGGCCAAATAAAAAAACAAGTACTACTGTGTGGTCTACTGTAAAGGCTATTTAGCATTCCCTACACATGTAGAAGAGGAAATCACTCTCTCTGATCCCAGCTGGCACAAAGTCCAGCTTTCCTCCAGCGTGTGATCTCTTTACATTTACTGTTCCACATTTGTTTTATTTTTCAATCCTATTCTGAACACTTTGTCCCTTTATTATAGTATAACAGACAAAGAGAGTAAGAACAAGTCACCTGCAGCATCAAACGCCTCCACCACCCATAGATAAAGCATATGTGGTCATTTCCATATTGCAAAATCCTTTTGAAGACTCCCCTAAAAAGGCAGATTTAGATGTTTGCTCAGGAACCCTCAGAGGACAAGTGCTGTTTGATGTCCACAAACAGAGCTACTTTAAAGTGGAAATGTAGAGATGGACCATGAAAGTATTGACATGGGGGCATCGGAAAACCTTTACAGGGTTCAAACCGACTTCCTTTCATACAACTAGAGAGATAACATTAAAACGTCTGTAGAAACAGAAAGGTCATTTTTTCTTATATTTTGTTATTTCAATGCCTATTTTGGAGCACGCACACACACACACACACACACACACACACACACGCACGCACGCACGCACACACACACACACACACGCACGCACGCACACACACACACACACACACTGTCTGTGGCTTAACAGCTCTACATATCATGATAGCATGAGGAGATGAAAACCAGGTTTGTGTTCAGCTATTGATGCACAGATGGTGATATTTTTAGTCTTGCACATCAAAAGTAGATTGTTGTCAACACACACACATCATTTGGGGGGGGGGGGGGGGGTCTTCTAGCAGCTTGAAAGAATTACCTCAAAGTGCAGAATCATAAAAGTTATTATTATTATTAGTCTTAATCTTTTTGCATTTTGGGGTTTTTAAGTAACAAAAAAAAATCCAAATGAGCGATTAAGTTTTATGAATATTTATTTATTAATCTCAGTTCAGGTACAGACATGAAAAAAAAAAACCACGAAGCACATCCAATAGTGTTGAAATTTGAAGATGATCAGTGTCTCTTATTATCTTATTGCTCTAAGGGTGAACGTGGCACAATGTGACCAAAACCCTAAAGCAGTCTTTTGGCTTGACTGTGTTTCCTTGACCGAAACACAGTTTCCACTAGGGGGAGCTTTAACTGGATTCTCATGACAAAATCCACCTCACGTCATTAACAGATCCACAACAATGAATATTTTGAAGCTCTGTGTACCAAGTAGATGTCAAATGGATTGTAACCGTATGCACTCTGTTGAGTTAAACTGTCAGTCAGCTGATTTCGCTCTAAAAGTCAGAGTTGTCCCCTTGACATTCACAGTCTGCAAACATCAGTAAGCAAAGGAAATAAAAGGCTGTGAAGTCTTGCATCACATCCAGAATTGTTTACTCAGACGTCTGAGACATCTACAGAGTTGACTCCTAATGAACCAGGACTCAGGAAACATAAAGGGAAGGGGCATAATTTTGTGAAAACTGATTTATAATGAGTCAAATCCTGCTTGAGAACTTTGTCCGGTACCCATTTATGAATATGAGAGCATCCGTTAAAAAAAATCATTGGTCAACTTGTTTAAAACTTTTTATGTGATCAAATGAGCGTCCCTGCCCCTTTATTCACCACTAAAAGGGTGCATTTCTGCGCCTGTCCTCACGCAGACCAGAATAAAACAGTGTTATTGCAGGTTTTCTCATGCTAATTCCTGCAGTTTGTAGAGTCGTTCACATGGGAGGGGACGGTAATCTATCCAGGGAATCTCCGCTGCTGGTATTCCTGATTGTCCTTAGGCCTCCTGCAGGGCGACAACAACAGATCCCATCAGTGGAGCTGGTGCTAAGTGAATGAGTGAAATTGTTAAAATAAATTTAAAAAAAGAAAGTCACACTTGAACTCATAAAATGTAACAGTGACAGGAACAGAGAGAGGCGGAAGGTGTTGAATCGGAGGGGGTGGGGTGGTGTTGGGGGGTGATGGTACAGACAAACCAAAGGGGGAGGCTCATACTTTCACACTAAACCGCACACATGCACCGGAGACGTGCAAAACGCTGGAGACCTGGCAGACCGCAGAGACGTTTGTTTTTGTAACTTTTCTCTGGTTGAAGCGACTCTTCGTTACTTTTCTGGCTCAGGATCCCTGCTCTCCTCACTTTTATTCCGGTTTTACGCGCCGCTAAGTTGGATCAAACTCACTGGCAACTTTTGCGCACTCGTTTTTTTTATTTTCCCTGCTGAAATGATTCATTCTAAAGAAGGAAGAGGAGGATGATGGTGTGCCACCTCTTCCTACCTCAAAACACGTGAAGCAGCAGCAGCGTCGCGTCCGGGAGGCTCCAGCCAGCATGACTCTGTCCGGCGGCTTTTCGGATACTTGTCAGCTGGTTTTACGCGACCGCATGGAGACGGAGCTGTGGAAATAGGACCTGCTGCATGCTTTCTGTGTTGGGGGGAAAAGTTGTTGCAAACACGCTGCAGAGTCTGGAGAGCTACGATGCGGGACACTTTGAGCGCAGTCATCCAGTTGTGTGTGATTCTGTTGGTCAGAGCAGAGCAGTGGAGGTTGAAGGACTCCCACAGCTGCGAGCTGAACAGGAAAGTAAGTGATTTAAAACTCCAAAGCAGAGTGGGCGCACTTGTTAAATCATCCATGCTGCTATTGTGACACTTGTTTTCTTGTATTTTATAGAAACGTAATGAAGTTTATGCCAGAAAAGAAACTTTAAAATTACATTCACCCGTTTTTTTTCCCCTGGACAGCTTGCTGATCTACCTTTGATTGCATCAATAACATTATTCAACATATTTTTTATGTCAATGTATCATTAGCTAAAGAAAAATCTTTTTTTTCTTTATCTGTTTCTGTAACTGCTGCTGTTAATAACTTATTATGGTTATTGCTTTCTACTTAGTCCATGTAATCTTGAGGAAAATTCATTTCTACACTCAAATGTAAAGAATTTTAATAAATGAACAATCATACTATTTGAACAATTATTTTTCTATTTAACAGCTTCATGAAAATTGTTAAAAACAGATTGTCTCATTTTTTTTTTACTTTTTTCCTAAGTAGACCTTCCAACAGCTTCTTTTTTGAATATGCATCCATTTAATTTGTCAGTAGCAACTGCAAGACAGGACAACAGCCCCGGCAGTCCCCTGTTTGTATTGTTTCTTTGACACTTGGGTTCTAAGTGGCCTGTTAATAAGTCATTATCAGTCAGTTAGTGGTCTAACAAACAAGTCTCCTGCAGACAAAGAGGTGTTTGGTGTCAGACAAGGCCACTGTTGGTTGTAAAGTTACAGTAAATCCAACCGTCTTTGCTCCGTTTAAATGCTTTTATGTGTTTATGGCTGGTTGTTTGGACCCGAAGTGCCTGTGCAATAAAGAGGAAATCCAACAAACATTTCTAAAAAGTTGATTTTGATTAGATGCTTTTTTATTTTCCTCATGCTGGACCAAGCTGACTCTTTATGGGCTCTTGACAAGTAGAGAACGTGTGATTTACAAGTGTCACCCCCACCTCAGTCACTTTATTTTTCTCTCCACAGCAAACCGACCTAAATTCTTTCCTGTGGACGATCAAACGGGACCCCCCCTCATATTTCTATGGCACAATCCACGTTCCTTACACACGCGTTTGGGATTTCATCCCAGAAAATTCCAAGCAGGCCTTCCAGGAGAGCCACATTGTGTACTTTGAGTTGGACTTGACAGACCCTTACACTATCTCAGCCCTGACCAGCTGCCAGCTGCTCCCTCAGGGTGAAAACCTGCAGGACGTCCTGCCCAGAGACATCTACAGGAGACTTAAAAGACACCTAGAGTACGTCAAACTCATGATGCCTTCTTGGATGACACCAGATCAGAGAGGGAAGGGGCTCTACGCCGACTACCTCTTCAATGCTATTGCGGGGAACTGGGAGCGGAAGCGGCCCGTTTGGGTGATGCTGATGGTGAACTCATTAACAGAGGCAGACATCAAGACACGGGGGGTGCCAGTGCTAGACCTGTATCTGGCTCAGGAAGCAGAGAGGATGAGGAAGAAGACAGGGGCAGTTGAAAAAGTCGAAGAGCAATGTCACCCGCTCAACGGGCTCAATTTCTCCCAGGTGAGTTTGACATGAGCTTCCTGTTTCTCTGCTGCATCGTCTCAGGTGTGTTTTTCTGCTTCCCAGGCCTTCTTACAACATTTAAGTAGTTTTGATCAATAGAGGCTTTCTGAAGGTCCTTAAACGTTTTCTTTAAACTTTTTACGTGTTTTTTTTTTTTTTTTGTCCAGTCCTGCATCTAACAATAGGAGCATGTGAAGGTTTGGGCCAACAACTTGCACCCAAAAACGGGATCTGGGTTGTGATCGCCAGATAGACACATACCTTTAAGAAAATACTATTGCAAATGTTTGTAGTTCACCAGGAGCCTGGCTTGTGGTCAATTTAAAATCACCAGTTTTTGCTAACATGCATGATTTTGGTCTGAGCAGTAGACGGAAACAACAAAAAAACATGCACGAGGGCCTTAACAAACCAAGAATCAAACTCATACTGCTCCTCCAAAGCAAATGTTCAGATTTCACCCATCCATCCCAGGGGTGGACATTAACTTCAAAACCAACCGGCCAGCCGGGCCGGTAACTCTGAATATTTACCGGCCCTGCCAAGAATCTACCGGCCCCACTGGTCAGCCGCCAAAACGAGTCAAAATAACAACTGAACCGTTTTAAATGTAACAAACCTTTATTTTGTACACATTCACAAACATAATAACGTATTCAAGTTTGAATTTGTTTGTTCCCTCAACAAAACACAATTTTGTCGTCGCATACTTCTGGCATACAACGCAGTACATCACCAACGCCGCTTTGCTGTATTCAAGCCATTGACTGTGTTCGAGATGAGCCAGTTCTGCGCAGAGTAGACCAGCAGTGATCGGCGAGCGGTGCATGCCGGTTAGATTTGTGTCCGAATTGACGCCGACTTGCTCTGACGTCATGCCTACGTAGGCATCGATAACCTCGTGAGATCAAGGCGGCCGCAGATTTTGGAGCAAGGCGCTGCAGTTGCTCTCTACCGGCTGCAAAACCTAGAGGATGATGGGAAACGCCTGGCTCTCACCTGATCTAAGATCTGATTGGTTCACATTTTGATCCAAACATCCGGTGGTAGAACATGAAATGTTAGTTGGTCACATGTATTCTGTAAATCATGTTATGTTGATGATAACAACAATATAGGCCATAAGGAGAAATGTGTTTTGTGTTCTTTTGTCACGTTTCCTATGAGCACACTGAACAGCTGATAACCTTTACTTATTATTACAGTCATGTTTTCATATAGAATATATGATATCCACAAGCGCGTGAGGATGTGTTTCTGCTGCTAACAGGCACCAGAATTAAAATTGAAAATTGAACAAGTGTGAACGCTAACGCGATATCTTCATCCATCGTCACCCCCGAGTAGGGAAGTCCAAGAGATTCAACTGGCAGAAACAACTGGTTCACACCACACACTCTCACTCACTCACACACACACACACACACACACACACACACACACACACACACACACACACACACACACACACACACACACACACACACACACACACACACACACACACACACACACACAGGAAAAGAGCTGAGGAAATGGAGGACACCAAGTAATTAAAAGAAAAACTACAGCTGAGCTGAGGCGCGCCTCGAATGGGGCGCGTCTGATCTGAACTGAGGAGCGGCGAGCAGCGGCCGGACTTCGTGAGCGATTCGCTTCGGGCGCTTCCGCGGCCGGTGTGTCCCCGGCGTTAAACGCCGGCTTTCAGCCACTCCCCCTGCTGCTTCCGTCTGCTCTCGTCTGTTTTCCAGACGAGCCGCTACTCAACTCAAATATGGCCGTTCTCCACGCCTCCCGTCTTCTTTAAACCTCCAAGAATCATTCCACCTACGCACACGCTTCTCTGCTTCATACCGTTTCGAACTGTCTCGCTTCTCCTCACCAGTTTTAAAGCGTTTTGCCGGAGATTTCATCAAGAAATCCAATCCCTGTGGTGGCGCGATCTTCCTGCGTGCTTGTGTGTTTCTAGCGTGGTTCCACTTCGTCTTTAATAGTGAACTTATAGTTCACGTGACAATAACTAGAATGTGCAGGATGTGCACGAATCGTACAAGTGCAGTACGTGGCTAGAGGCGCGCAGGTTCACGCGCGCGAAACGAAAACGGCAGCTTCCTACAGGGCGGGGCCATGATGTAGGTGAAAGCCGGTGTGTAAATGACAAATAAAGCTTGGGCGCCACCCGGGCGGTAAGTCGTCAAGTATTTACCGCCCGACGAGAAAATTTAGCGCCATTGGCGCTCGGGCGCTTTAAAGGTCCACCCCTGCATCCATTGTCTTCCGTTTATCCGGAGTTCAGTCGTGGGGGCAGCAGCCTAAGCAGGGAGGCCCATCTTCCCTCTCCCCAGTCACCTGGGCCAGCTCCTTCAGGGGGAATCCCAAGACGTTCCCTGGCCTGTGTGTCCTGGGTCTTCCTTTAGGTCTCCTCTCGGTTGGACATGCCTGGAAAACCTCACCAGGGTGGCATCCTAACCAGATGCCCGAGCCACCTCAACTGGCTCCTCTTGATGTGGAGGAGCAGCAGGTCTACTACAAGCCCCTCTCGTATGACAGAGCTTCTCATCCTATCTCTAAAGCTTGTCGCACACGAAAGCAAACTGCTGAGCAAATGGCCTCAAATGACCATTTGCTCAGCAGATACCTTGCTGTGTGTGCCTGACTTTCACTGAGTTTTCTGCCTCACGAGACGCTGAGGTGAATATCTGACCGGTTTGATATGTTCCATCTCACGGGGGGTAAATACTCGCCGTGTAAGGCATTCTACCCTTTACCAACTGAAGACCATGTTCAGAATTCACAGAATGAAAAATTTACTTTGTTTTTAAGTTTCCCAAACAAAACCCCAGTTTTATGAGGTCTTCTGTAACTGTTATCAAGAAAACATGAAACATGGGAAAAGTTATGTTCCTGGTTAAATGTTTGAACCTACACAGTCCAAATGAATGCTTAGTTGGTTAAAATCCAATTTTGTGTTGATTTTCAGACAATTAATATATATATATATATATATTTTTTTTTTAAGTATAAGATTAATATTAAGGTTATTATGGTATTTGAATTTTAAACTTATTCAAACATATTTTTAGAATTTAGTTTTTGGGTAGATTTACTTTCAGTGCCTGCTTTAGTGAGATCTTGGCACTAAAATATGTTGTAGTTGACTTAATGTTTGAATGATGCAGTGATGGGAATAACGCCGTTTAAAATAACGGCGTTACTAACAGCGTTCTTTTTGAGGTAACAGAATAATCGAATCACTTTTCCCACTGTTGCAACGCCGTTACCGTTACTGGGGATGGAAGTTGTGCATTACTATGTGCTTGCCGAATGTTGAGCAACAGTGTGAGGCTTTCTGACCGCCACACTTCAGCTGCAGCCAGGGAGAGAGAGGTATCGGTAACGCACTTAAACATGATGATGATTAGCCGGGTGGGCGGAGACCCTCAGTGTTCTCACTGTCTCAGTTATTGAGCAGTGATGGAAATAACGCCGTTTAAAATAACCACGTTACTAAAAAAAGTTGTCTTTCAGTAACGAGCAATCTAACTAATTACAGTCTTTTTTTAATCAAAACGTCGTTTCTGTTACTGATAAGAAAATGCGTCCATTAAGCAGAGCGGTGTGTTGAAGCTGTCATCAGCTGATCAGGAGCTAAAGAGGCAGATGTTTTCATCCAAGCGCATCACGGCCCGTGAAGAACGAGGAAGACGTGATGAATATCTACGGCTGCAGGTGTGGATCTGCAGCCCCCAAAGTGTCAAAATATGACGCGTGTGACCAAGCCTCAATATATGATGATTTGGGATGCCCCAGCGCGTCAGGAGAGGACGATCAGGGACACGTGGCACCGCTGGCGTCCGTATTTGACACCCGCGATCACACGGACATTATTACACGATTTAACCTTCCCTTCACCCCAACCCTAACCTTAACTCAGTAACTCAGCTGAGTTAAGGTTAGAATGGGGGTGAGGGGAAGGTTAATTAGTTCACAAGTCGCTCTAATGTCCGTCTCACCGCGGGCGTCGGACACCAATGCTCTGGGACAATACATCCTCAATGCGTCCTCTCCTGACGCACTGGGGCATCCCGAATCGTCATACTGAGGCTTGGTCACACGCATCATATTTTGACGCTTTGCGTGTGAGAATGTGTTGGCCGTGCCCTTCTTAGCGTGACAGCGGGACATCCCGAAGGTCCGCTCACCTGTTCACCGCTCAGATGTCACGATCTTCTACCTTCCTAGATCGTCCATCTGTAACCTGTTTCTGATCATGTATTTAGTCCCGTTGTAACACTGATGCATCAGTCTCAAATGTCATGGAGCTCAGGTGTTATTAGAACTACCTGTGTGTCTTTACCACCCATCTTTAGCTCTTCTGTGTTTGGGTCTGACCCAAGTTAGTAAATGTAAGTCCTCCATCAGGTTTGTGCCTCTTCTAGTGTCATTTTAAAGGATTTTATTTATTTATTTAACCATTACTAGATGTGAAGCTGGAAAAATTAAAATACTGAGCAAAATTACATTTATTTCTGTAATTTAACTAGACTGAGAGACAATTTAAAGGCTCAGGAACCTTTACAGGTGTTTCCATTTGCAATTATAAATTTGAGCTGATTGGGCTCTTGTTAAATATCACACAGTGACCGTTCAATAGTCTAGATAAGTGTAATGCTCCTGTTAGTAGTTCCTCCTGTTAAGTGCTTATTTATTTAAACAATTCAGGTTTATAAAATACATTTGGACATACATTTTATTATGTTCCAGTCATTAGTCATTTATATTTCACTAGTTTATAGTAAATTAAGTAAGTTTAATTAAGAGGGGAACCCATTTTTCTTGCATTCTTTAATGGAAAAAGTAACTAAGTAGTTATTTTTCTTGGTAGTTATTTACTTTTATAATCTCGTAACTCGGTAAGTAACTGAGTTACTTTTTTGACAAAGTAATCAGTAACTATAACTAATTACTTTTTAAAAGTAACATTCCTCACACTGGAA